GATATATATATATATATATATATATATATATATATATATATAATTGAGAGTATTCTAATTTCGGGTATTTCCTATTTTCTATTTCATAGAATATTAATTACATAGAATAGAAGAATATTGTTCAATAAAAATAGCATATATTTATATTGAACGGTAAAAGTATCAGTGAATAAAATATAAGATTGATAATAACGACTTAATTAATATAAATACAAATCTTCATCATCAATAAATATATAAAATACATATTCGAATGGACAACTTTATCAATTTAATAGATCGTATTGACCATATACTAGTAGTTCAAAATGCTATTATTTTGTAGCATTTCACTTTTTACTGGTGAGAAAAAATGATCCAAACTCAATCTTTTCTGAATGTAGCTGACAATAGTGGAGCAAGAAAACTGATGTGTATACGAGTACTAAATAGTAGTAACTGCAAATATGCTAATATAGGGGATACAATTATTGCAGTGGTAAAAGAGGCAATTCCTAATATGTCAATTAAGAAATCTGAAATAGTAAAAGCAGTAGTAGTTCGTACACGTAAAGGAATCAAAAGGCAAAGTGGTATAACAATTCGTTTCGATGCTATATATATATATATATATCGTCAAATAGATATATATATATATATGTCACAGCCCCTCGTTTGTTGTCCTCTTCTATATATATATATATATATATATATGTTCAGCCTCCTGATGAGTCGGTGAAACTCCGACGAAACAGTTTGTCACAGCCCCTCGTTTGTTGTCCTCTTCTCCCTCTCNTTCTCCCTCTCTGCCTACGGTTTACCGGGCAGTTCTATTTGACGATATATATATATATATATATCGTCACAAACAGAACTGCCCGGTAAACCGTAGGCAGAGAGAGAGAAGAGGACAACAAACGAGGGGCTGTGACAAACGATCACGATCAAATGAAGTACGTTTTCCGTTGACCCACACATGGCAAAGGGCAAAAATGGAGAATGTGAGAAATAGGCACGCCATTTATTTCATGGTCCAATTTTTTTTAATCTTTTTTTCTGGTACTTTTTCCTGGAAAGATCACTATCTAATCTATAGGCTCTCAATTTTTCAGATCTTTTCATTAATTCTTCTGAGCGCCAAAAATCACCAAATTTGGCACTTGAAAATTGAGGGACTGGACCCGCCTGGACCCGCCGGTCGCCGCCCTACCATTTTCTGCAGCCCTAACTCACGAGGAATCCTACTTTAGGTTGTCGGGGGTAGCCTGGGGTTTAAGCCACCAGTCCCCTCGCCACCCAAAAACCTGCCTCCAGTGAGTTAGGACTAGATTTTTCGGAAGGGTGTCAACCGTTGGTTACCGGCAGGTCCAGTCCCGCAACTAAAAAGTGCCCTAACTTCGGCGATTTATCGATCCTAAACTAATAATCAGAAATATCGGCAATTTAGGGAGCCCGTAGATTAGGTGGTGATCTTTCTAGGAAAAAAAAAAAAAAAAAAGTTTTGACTCTGAAATAGCTGCCGCGTCGATTCGGTTCCTTTTCCATTTTTGCCACTCCACGACGTGTGGGCCAGCGGAAAAAGTACCCTAACTTCAGTGATTTGTCCAGCTCAGACGAATGCGTTGAAAATCCAGAAAATTGGACGACCTGTAGATTAGTTCGTGCTCTTCCCAGGAAAAATATCTGAAAACTAAAAAAAAAAAAACATATTGATGCTGAAATGGTTGCCGTGCCAATTCGGTGCATTTTCCATTTTTGCCACTCTTCGGATAACTTCAGTGATTTTTCACACTCAGAAGAATGCGTTAAAAATCTTGAAAATTGGGGGGCTGTAGATTAGGTCGTGAGCTTTCCAACAAAAATTATCTTAAAATTTTGAAAAAAATCATTTTAGCCGCGAAAAAAATTTGCGGCGGTAGTTCCACGCATTTTCCATAGTTGCCATTGTGCTGGTTCTCCATACTGTGGTACCCATAGCCCTCATGAAAATATGCTACCGGTTCCCCGAGTTTTTTCATGGCAGGGGGGACTGGTGGTTTAAGCCCAAAAACTTGAACCATGTGCGAAACTATTTTGATCTTCCCAATCTCAAAACATTGTAGGTGTGTTTTATGCCGATGTTCTTAAAACACCAGCACTTGGCCCAGTTATCGGCCGCGGAAAACAATAGAGTAGAAACGTTTCTCGTTGGATGAATTTGGACGTTCCTGTAGCGGCCCGTACATTTCCTAAAATTGTGGCGCCTTAACAGGCACCACTTTAGGAAGTACTGGTGGTTTAAGCCACCAGCTCCCCTCTGACAGCCAGAATTTGGCCAACCAGTATGGCCAGGTAAGCTTGAGGAAACACAAAAAAAAATAGGCCTACCAGTACCGGCTGGGAGTAAGTAAGACTGAGAAAACGGAAACAAAATGCTCAAGTTTTGCTGGATGCAGTGGGCAAGGCCCGCAGCTTACCCCTGGACCCCACTGCCTGGCGATAGCTTGCACCTGGAAAGCCTATCCGCCAGGCCAAAATCCTAGGCTATGCGAATGGGCAAGAGAAAAGGGACTCCACCACCACAGCAAATTTCAGCAACTCCACAGGTTGGGCTTAAGTCAGCAAAAACAGGCTCGGCAAAACTCGGAGCGCAGTGAAAATCAGGCTCGGATCAGGAAGAGTTGTCCTTCAGGACAAGTGTGCTTCTCTTCGACTTTTTCCCCCCCTTCTTTTTCAGCACATCATCCAATCCCTGGGCCTCCTTTCCGCACGGGATGGCTGAATCTAGAGTGTAGCCCCCCCGGCTATCCTCTAGATCCAGCCATGCCGTGTGGAAAGGAGGCACAGGGATCGGATGTTGTCCTGAAAATGTGGAATAGGCCAGAGTAGAATCGAAAATGCTTGTTTTTACGGCCACCAGTGGAGTCATGAAAAACACACTAGCGGACATTGAAAACCGTTTCCACCATTGTGTGGGGTCCAGCCCTTAGGGCGAGATCCCACTAGCAAAGAGATTGGATTGTAAACCTGAACCTGGACGTGTTTGTGGAGATGTGCAGATCGTTGCAATCTCTCTGCTTTTCTGTCTCTCTAAGTACAACACATCCAGCTTCAGGTGCTTAGTCCAATCTTCTTGGCTAGTGGGATCTCACCCTTAGGCCCACACACACCATTTCATCATATCACTACACCATTTCATCATATCACTTGTTCCGGGGCAAGGTCCCACTTGCGCAACTTAGGAGATTTTAGCCGTTGATCTTCGCTATCTACGGTCGGTATCTCCACTTGCGCAAATTCGGAGAATTCCGGCGTTGATTTTTGCTATCTACGGTCAGTATCTCCACTTGTGCAAATTAGGAAATTTGGGCCGTTGATCTTTGCTATCTACGGTCAGTATCTCCACTTGCGCAAATTAGGAGATTTCGGACGTCGATCTTTGCTATCTACGGTCAGTAACTCCACTTGCGCAAATTAGGAGATTTCGGCCATTGATCTTTGCTCTCTACGGTCAGTATCTCTTAATTCGTGCAAGTGGGACCTAGCCCCTGGACCGGCCACTCTCCATTGCTACCGTGCAACGATTTTCTCTCCCACTCTCTGGTGGTCTCTTATCTTCAAAATAGCACAGCATAGGTCCTCCCTGCCCTTTGGGCAGGCCTGCCTTTTGTGCTGGGCCAATAGTCCGAATTTGGAGACATTTCAGTGGGATGCCAGGTTCAGAAACTGGTAGGCTGCATTTCACAGCTATCTGAAATAACCATTCGTTTCTCATTTTGTTTTGTTGATGGGCCACCATGTAAGAGGTCCTGGGATGCTTCACAAATAGAGAGCCAAGTGACAAAGTGCTTGAACAGCACCTCTTTGCTAATTAGTATAGAAGCGCATGTGACAGAACCCCCGTCCATCATCTTGTTCAGAGATGCTCTCTCTCTCTCTCTCTCTCTCTCTCTCTCTCTCTCTCTCTCTCTCTCTCTCTCTGTGTCTCTCTCTCTGTCTCTCTCTCACACACACACACACACAATATTCTCTCCATCTCATGCACATGCATGCAGTTAATCTTCAGTGTTAGGGAGAGAGTGGTGGTACAAGCCAATCCCGAATTGAAAAAAATCAATGTCTCTCTCTCTCTCTCTCTCTCTCTCTCTCTCTCTCTCTCTCTCTCTCTCTCTCTCTCTCTCT